GAGACCTGAGCGCTGGAACTTCATTTGAGGCACCCCTGAAGGGCTTGGGCAGGCTAGACACTAGTCAGGGAAGGCTATGGGTCCTCCCTGGCACAGCTGACCGGTTTCTTCTTCCTTCAACACACCTGCTGATGTGGTGTGAAGTCTGAGTTGACGAAGGAAAAAGGGACAGTGTGGTCCTAGCCCTTCAGAGCTGGCCTGGTGATGAGAAAGGAAATATACAAACAGTTGTAACACTGATAGCTGTTCTCTGGAGGGAGCGTGGGCAGAACCCTGGCATCTGAGCTACTGGGACCTTCTTGGAAGAACTGGCATTTATGCCCAGACCTGAAGGGTTTTCTAGAATCTAGAAGGTGGAGGGGGGTGTGTCGTTGACCTCAGTCCTCTGAGTGAAAAGTGACCTTTTGCATCAGATGAGGTGTGCATGCTTGCAAGAGCCCATCAAGACCAAGCCTGCTGTTATTTCCTCATAGAAGTTGGGGGGTGGGGGTCATTAGCCCCTCACCTGAGCTTCTAGCCCTTCCTCCCAGCTGATTGGACTAATTCTCCTCTAATTGCAAGTGGGAGGTGCTAGGGTATATAAATTGTTAGTTAACGGAGGCTCTTTGTCTACTCGATTCGACTGTTTGGTAGAGGTAACAGAGGGTCTCTGTCTACTGGACTACCTGGGAGAGTTAACAGAGGATCTTCGTCTACTTGACTGCTTACTCGACTGTGTGGTAAAGTTAACAGGGTCTCCATCTACTCCACTGTTTCAGAAGTCATTCCTGTTGGCAGCTGCGGCTCTGGGGTCACTCATGTTTCTGCCAGGAACCCCTCAACCGCATTCTGTAAGTTCAATACACGCAGGGTTCCCACTGTAAGCCTTGGTGTAACGGTACTTTGGTTTGTTGCTGGGTCCTTACGAGGAAGGGGTAAACTTTTGTTTCTCCCCAGGGAAGGAATTCTTGAAACCGGGTAGCAGGGGTGAAACCACAGAACTGAGATGTAAAGTTCGGGGAGGAGGAGTGATTGGGACAGGGTGCCAGGGAGCTGTCCTTTCCGGTAGCTCAATCTTAGTCACCCAGCTTGGATGCTCTTGATCTGATTGTGCCCCAAGGTTCATTCAGATGCCTCGTTCACTCTCCATGTCCCCACCCCTGAGCTCCTCCACACCTGAAGCCTGTTTACTAACTGGACAGTCAGGCTCTCGGTTACTCACAGCTGGCTACATCCCTGTATTCCATCCTGATGCACACACACCGGCACGCCATCAGATTATCTAAGCCAGATAGTGCTGTGAAAGGTGCAGAAGAGACTGGGTAATTACTCCTGCCAATTACTGAGGCAAATCAGAAGTTGCTGGGGTCTGCTTCAGAATCCATGGTAGCTAAATGCCTTGACGATAATACTTAACTCATGAGGTTGCTCTGTTATTAACAATAAGAATCATTTGTAGTGGCTCCGACTTTTAATCACAACACTCTTGAATTCAAGGCCAGCCTGGTCTACAGAGTGAGTTCCAGGACAGGCTCCAGAGCAACACAGAGAAACCCTGCCTCAAAAACTATTTGTGGAGTCAAGTGTGGTGGCATATGCTTTTAAACCCAGTGCTGGAGTGGCAGAGGCAGGCAGGTGTCTGTGAATTTGAGGACAGCCTGATCTACAAAGTAAGCTCCAGGACAGCTAGGACTACATAGGGAAACTCTTGTCTTGCAAAAACAAAACAAAAACCCCAAGAGAATAATTTGTCACTCAGTGAACCCAATAATAGGTACTTTATTTGGATCTTTGAAGATGGTGTGTACCTAGTTAGTTCAAAGCTGCATCATTGGTCAATGGTGGAGTCAGACCTGGAAGCCACAATCTCTGAACCTAAGCTAGTTTTTCAGCCTCGCACCCAGCCCATTTATCAAACACGCAAGTGAAAAGGAGGAGGGCAAATCGCATAATCAGCATGAGTGTAACCACTTGGATGAATGTTTAAAAATTTTTAATCTTTTTTGTGTACATGCCTGTGTGTGATGTGTGTGGTGTGTGTGTGATGTGTGTGGTGTGTGTGCGCGCGCGTGTGCGAGTATATATGCCAAGTCTACAACTTCTCCATATTTTCGTTTCTACTCTCAACTTCCTGAAGCACAAACACTTGGGTTCTTCCAAAGGCCACAGTAGGAAGTAGGTGCTGCAGCCATGTTCACCACCCACCCAGCTGACAAGCTGGCCTGTGGGACAGGTTGTTGAACATCAGGAGTGCCAGAGGAAGTCCCTGACAACTCTGGCTGTTCCAACTAACTGCCTGGGGCTTTGTGGACAGCGGGGCGCTGTGTGAGATCAGTTCACCCCCGCCCCCCTTAACACATACAACACACAAATAGTCCGCCGAATGCTCTCCCCCCCCCCCCCCCCCCCCCAGTTCTGGCTGAGTTGTTAGATTCAGCCAAATGAGGACGCCTGCCTGCCAGGTTACCTGGCTGGGTGAGCACCGCCCAAACTGGTCAGGCTAGTCAGTCCGTGGCTGTTTCTGCCAGGGCTTGCCCTTGCGTAGGGAGGGTACAGACCTACCCTTCTCCACAGCAACACGGGTAGGTGGCAGGCAGCTGTGGGCACTCTAGCCTGGCAGCCAGACCAGATGGGTGGAGCCGAATTAATCTAACCTGGAATTTCAACTTGGCCAGTTACAACAGGTGAGGGGTGGTAGGGAAGGCAGCTTGAGAATTGGGCAGTTTGGCAAGTTGGAAATTCTCTTGTGTCTTGTCCCTTACCCCTGCTGGAACACAGCCCAGGGTGACTTTTTTCAAAGTGTCTGCGAGGTTTAGGCCTCGGTGGCGACTTGGGCCCATCCGGAGTCTGTCTGGGTCCCTGTCCGCTAGGCGCCCCATCCCTCTGCCCTGGGAAGCAGGGCGGGCGGGGGCCTCGAATTAGTCTTTGTTTTAGACGCTCAAGAAAGAGCCCGGGCAGCACCGAGCCGGAGAGGCTGGTGACGGAGGGCCCTGGGGCGGTCCCGGGCAGGGCGCGGGGCTGTGACCCTCCCGCGGACGCCACGCAGTGGGCACTCGGTCTCTGCCTTCGGACGCCCCGTTCTTGCGGGTCAGGCTGACTCGGTATGCAAACGCGCGGTGTCCCCTATTGTCCTGCCTCGGCCTGAGCGAGCGGCAGCCGAGGGGGAAAGGGTGGCGGGCGGGGGCGATCGGTCGGCCTCGGGGCGGCCGGAGATGGCGGGGCAGTCCCGAGCACGCAGGGAGTGGCAGGAAGTGGGGACACCCAGGCAGCCGGGCCAAGGGCCTAGCCGGGGAGGTCCGCGCCCCGCCCCGCCCCGCCCCGCCAGCTCGGGGCTCCGGGCCGCGCCGGAGGGCAGGGACGGGCCAGCGCGGGGACGGCCGCGCCTCTGGAGGGCTCCTCCGCGAGGCCCGCGGCGGCGCTGCAGGTGCAGAGCCCGGCCGGCCGGCCGGCGCGCGCGTCGCCCCTGCCCGGGATCTCCGCTCCTGCGCGGCCCCGGGCCCGGCGGCCGGGCTCGGCGGGACCGCACGTGCGCGCCCTCCCGGGCGGGGGAGTCCCCGGGCGAGCACGTGCCGCGGCGCGCGGGGGGGGGGAGTCCCGCGGCCGCCTTCATTGCTGCTGCTGCTGCTGCTGCCGCCGCCGCGGCCGCCGCCGCCGCCTCTTCCTTCCTCCTGCGCGGCCCCCGATCGGCCGGGGCCGGGGCCGGGCCGGGGGCGCACCGCGCGCGCGCGCAGGCAGCTTGGCCGGGCGAGGCGCTCCTCCGTTCCCGGGGGGGCGCACCCACCCCTGTGGCCGCGGCGGCGGCGGCGGCGGCGGCGGGCTGGGAAACTTTGCCCCTTTGTGCGCTCCGCCCCGGAGGCGGCGGGCAGGTCGGTGCAGCCGGTGGCTTTCCGGCTCCGCGGTGGGGGAGGGGCGGCGCGTGGCGGGGGAGGGGTGGCGCGGCGCGGGGACCGTGGCCGGGCCGGGCCGGGGTGGGCGCAGCAGGGTAGCCAGGGGCCCGGCAGGGAGCTCCGGGTGGCCGCGCGGCGCTGCCGGGCGGGGGCGGCGGGGCGGGGGCTGCGGGGCGGCGGGAGCGGAGCGGCCGAGGCCCCAGAACAAAGGAGCCGGAGCGGCGGCGGCGGCGCGCGCAGCCTGGCCTGCGCCCCTGCGCGCCCCCTCCCCGCGCCCCTCGGTGGCGCGGGGCGCTCTCCTCTGTGGCCCTCGGGGCTCCGGCTCCTGGGGCGCGCGGCGAGGGGGCCGACTCGGGACTCCCCATGGGCGCGTCCCCCACCCCCAGGCCGCCTCGGTGCTTGGGGTGTCATCCACTCCAACGAGCGAGCCTCTGCAAACTTTATTTTGCAAGCTGTTACCTCGGGGGTTAGGTCCTGTGCCCCCCCACGCCCCCGTTAGGGGTTCGCTTGGATTTTTAATGAGACTCACAAGCCCGTGGAAGATGCGTGCGGGGTGGGGAGCAGGGTGGGGTGCACAAAGCAACTTTGTCAGGAATCCCACCTTGAGCGAGCATGCCTCATTCCCTTGAATGCCTCCCCACTTCTAGGCCCCCGAACCTCCGTCTGAGGCTCTAAGGACTTAGTTTGACTCAGACCCTGGCTTCCCCCATTTTCTCTTCCCAGAAGCAGGAAGAGATAACACGTGAAAGTTGTCCCTGAGCCCCGAATGATGCGCTTCCCCTTTCTGTCTTTCCCCTCCCCAGGCAGCGTAGCCTTCTCCACCATCCTGACCCAGGGAGGGAGAAGTGTCACCCTAATCTGCCCCACCGCACACCCAATTGGCTCACCTCATGCCTGAGCCCCGGGTGGGTGAGGGTGAAGAACCCACCCAGCCAAGATGAACCCTTTCCCGGGGGCTGCCGCCGCCACTGTGTTGCCCCTGACCCTGGGGCCCCCCTGCAGGTGGGAGACCGGTCCTGGAAGGAGTCCTGGCCGCCGGCTGCAGAGGAGGTGAAGAGGGTTTGAGAAGAGGCACCCATCCCAGAGGCGGAAGCTCCTTGCCTTCACCCTTGTAGACTGGTTTAGGCGAGAAGGACCTGCGGGTGGCGTTCGCAGGCAGCAGGAGACTGGACAGTAGTCTAACCTGGCGTCTGTGCTCCTTTCCTTGGCAACGGCAGCATCATGAGCCAGTTTCAGATGCCCTTGGCGGTCCAGCAGGACCTGCCAGGCCTTTACGATTACCCCCCACAGGGCCAGGTGATGGTAGGGGGCTTCCAAGGGCCTGGGCTTGCTATGGCTGGTAGCGAGGCCCAGCAGCTGCGAGGGGGTGGAGACGGGCGAAAGAAAAGAAAAAGGTGCGGGACCTGTGAGCCCTGCCGGCGGCTGGAGAACTGTGGGTCTTGCACCAGCTGCACCAATCGCCGCACGCACCAGATCTGCAAACTTCGAAAGTGCGAGGTGCTGAAGAGAAAAGCCGGACTGCTTAAGGAGGTAAGCGAGCCTCCGCTACACCCTTGCTCGCGGGCCTCAGCCATCATGAGGGTCTGCTTATCGAGACTCACCCAGTCGCAGCCGTCCGTCCTTTGGAGCCCAGTGGGTTCCTTCCCCAGGCCGATGGTTTGTGTCGGAGTAACTCAGTCCCTCGCAGAGCACGTGGAGCCAACATCCCCGCCCTGGATGTTTGATTGATGGCAGGAGAGATGGATTCAGAGGGGAAGCTCTGGGTTGGTTACAGGTTGGCTTTTGTGCTGTCCCTGGTGGATTGCGGTATTTTCTCCCCTACACCTTGACTTGGGTTCTGGGGGGTTCTTGGTGTCACAGGATACTTCGTGGGGGGGGGTCAGAGTTTCTGGCACAGTAGTATTTTGTTGGGGTAGTAGGCGCTGGATACCAACTTATGAATGTGCTTTTTGAGATACTGTCAAGGACTCCCTGTGTTCAGAGTAGGAGATGAGGAAGATGCAGGATGAGCAGCCACGGTGGGGTGGAGGGGCGGTGACCCTGTTATTGGGCTACTTTCCTTTCTACTATGGTACGAGGTTGGTGGCAGCTTTGATGGCAGAGAGTTGGCGAATGGACAGCCAACGGAACAGATCTTAGGCGGAGCGCGTAGCCGCTGAAGCCGCTCCAGGCAGCGGAGCTGGCGCTGGACAGAGACAGAGGCCTCCGCTGTGTGCAGGGTTCCCAGCCTCAACACTAGTTTGTTCAGGAGTCCAGACTACTCTGCCGCTCTGGGCCTGTCTCCTCAGTGAAATGGAGTTGTCCTTGGTAGTGGTCAAAGTCCCTTCAGCTGGGCCAGGAGCTGCTGTGCTCTGAGCGTAAGGTCACCTGTGGCCGGGCTAGGTATGTTCCCTCCCTTGGGATTTCCCTGACTGCTGGATGTAGAGTGATAACCTCAAGCTGGTAGTGCTCTGACTAGCAAGAAAGAACCAAGTGCTAGGGGCCAGGGTGGTTCTGTCCCTTAACTCTCCGTCCACTTGCTACACGCCATAAGTCATGATGTAGGGACGCCAGTCTGTTCCCTATTTACCTTGACCAGCTAAAAAGACCTGGATCAGATCTGCTGCCCCCAGCCCCAGCCTTGGGGCAATAGTTTGCAGCCCCCCCTTAGCCTTGGGGCAATAGTCTGCTGTATCTGCCCCTCAGCCCCAGCCTTGGGGCAATAGTTTGCAGTCACTTACGCTGCTGGTGTTAGGTACAGTTATGCTGCTTATCCTGTGACCCCAGGTCATTTCCCAGGGGCTGCGATAGGCGTAAGCTGGTGTTTGCTTGTGAGTACTGAACGCTGCGTAGCTAGATCCCTTCATTTCCTCCCTATGATGGGGCACTTCCTTTTTCCATCCCTCCATCCTCTACACGCCTCTGACAGACAAGGGTAAAGATTGGGTGGCCCTTGTGGGCGGCTTGAATGAAAAGAGCCAGGAATGAGGTCAGGGCCTGTCATCCCCCTGCTGGCCAGGCTGCTAGGTGATCCCGTGGACCTGGCGTGGCAGCGGCTCACAGATGTGTGCACCGGGCAGAACTTGCTATGGTTGGTGGCTACCCTAGGCCCCTAGGGCCAGGTAAAAAAATGTAGTTGGATAGAATGCCTCTGATACGCTAGGACAGAAGGTCCACACGTAGGTCTGTGGGCCAGGGCTGGACCACTATAGAGACAGTGGATGAGCTTTTTCTTCTGTTTTTATTTATGTGTGTATGTGGGAAGTTAGACACCGGATCCCCTGGGGCTGCAGTTATAGATGATTGTGAGCTGCTTGACGTGGGTGTTGGGAACTGAACTCCTGACCCCTGGAAGAGTGGTAAGGGCTCTTAACCTCTAAGCCATCTCTCCAGTGGGATGAGCTTTTTCTTAAAGCTAGCCATTTCATCATGTTTGCGTGTCTTTCTGCACTGTGGTGCACATGTGGAAGTCAAGACAACTTGATAGTCCGTTCTCTTCTATGTGGGTCCTGAAGACAAAACTGGGTCCTGATGCTTTGCAGCTGATCCTAACTTTCCTTTTCAGAGGGCAGTGCTCCAAAGGTGAATACCCTCTCTTTGATATTTAAACTTTGAAGGAAGAGGCTTGTTGTTATTTTTGTCTGTTTGGCTAAAAAAAAAGTAACTAGTGTCTCCTTACAAAAAACAACCTGGTCCTAAAGGCTTGGAAGCCCAAAGACTGCTGTCCAGACAACACTCCGCCTAATGGGCTTGTAGCTGGCACGTTCACGGGCTGGGATGCGCATGAGAGACTCTGCTTGAGCAAGTGTTTAACCGCCCCAGGGGACTGCAGTGACCTCAGTCATTAGATCTTCAAAGTGCTTAGCGGTAGGAGAGTGTCCCAGGACGGGGAGGACTTTGGGGGAGGGGGAGCTGGCCCCTCAGGTGTGGGGGATGCCCAGTCTCCGGAGCTCAGAAGTCTCACTGTCTGCTTTCATCTGTGCCCGGAACTCCGATCCCTCCTTAACTCTATCCGACTGCGCTCTCCCAGCTGCCTTCGGGGTTTCTTTGCTACTGTACTGTCTGCTGACAGCTGCCTGGTACCATCCTAGACGGGCGGTGGACACGAGAGGGGGGACTTTATATCTCTTGCTTTTCCTTTTGCTTACCTACTTGGCTTTCTTTTCCTCCGCCCTGTGAGCTTTGGGAAGAGTGTGCCAGAACCACTGGACTCGGTAGTTCCGATTCGAAGAGTAAAGATGACTTCCCCGGGCAGGTGGTTGCTTCTGGGTTGGCAGTAGGCATAGCGCATCTGACGTTTGTACCTCTACTGTGGTCTTAATTCCCAGTTCCCAGCTTAGGCTGGTGTAAGAGTTCGTTTGATTTACATTCTTTTCACTTAAATAAAGGCAGACTTCTTAGAGCTTGAGTGTGAAGCACACCAGGGTGACGTAGTGAGTCTCTCTGGTATTGGTTGGTTTTCTCTGTTGTGGGATGGAGGTGAGCCTTTTCGGGGTGTAAATACGCATCGTGTGTGGCACACACAGTAGGTGGCCAGCGCGAGCTGACACAACTAAACTTCACGTGTAAACAACTGTGCATTAGTCTGAGTTGTAAGCCCGTAAGTACAGATTACACGTTTATTTATCGCATGACATCCCCTTGCTTTCTGGGAGAAGAACTGTGGAGCAGGACTCTGGAGCCAGGAAGGGGGGGGGGGTGTCTGTGCACCAGGTGCAAGGCGGCGGAGCTGTGATCCTGAGCAAGGGAGGTAGAAGGGCGTGGATGAACAGAGAAGTGGGGTGTGGTTGGAGAGTACTTGCTAGTCATCGGCCCAGCTGTCCTTGGGCTCCTGAAGCTAGGAGGCCTCTCTGCAGTGTAGAAGCCCCATGGGTTTTCTTGCTAAGCTCCTGAAGCAAAGGGGGAAGTAGGGGGATGAAATTTCTTTAAAAGGAAGCCTACCTGGTGAGAGGCCTGAGAAGAGGCTGGGCAAGGTGAGCAGATAAGCATCTTTGGGATGCTGTTTTTACACCCCAGACTCCATAAGGACAGTCAGCTGGGGGTGTGGGGGGAAGGATTGTGTTTGTCTTTCTTAGGATTTCTTTTCTAATTATTTATTACCTATACAGTGCTCTACCTGCATGTATCCCCACAGGCTAGAAGAGGGTACCAGATCTCATTACAGGTGGCTGTGAGCCACCACGTGGGTGCTGGGAATTGAACTCGGCCCCTCTGGAAGAGCAGCCAGTGCTCTTAAACTCTGGGCCATCTCTCTAGCCCAAAAGGTGGTTTTCTTGTTTTGTTTTGTTTGTTTGTTTTTTCTTTTTTTGCTTGCTTTGTTCTTTGAAAGGAAACGATGGCGAGGGTTATTGAAACGGGACAATCCTAACTGGAGCCGTTGGTGTGGTGCCACACTGTCAAGTGTACAGAATGGTCAGGGTTGTGCCCTTTGGGGTTTATATGACACGGATGGCTCAGTGGTTTGAGCCTTGCCCAGGCGTATAGGGAAGCCCAGTGGCTGGGACATTCTGTGTCTAGGAAATGCTTGTGACAGAAGATTCTGTGTACTCCAGCAAGGAGGAGGAAGTAGGTCTCCAACTTAGGGAGCACAACTAGGAACAGGAACAAACACACCCCTGGGTCCCTGTGTACAAGGGGTTACGCTGGGGAAAGAGCCAGACACACGGGGCATTTACGCCCGGCCCGGCTGACTATCTTCCTGAGTGTTGCAAGGAACCACTCTACAGAATTACCATGATAAACAAAGTGCAGAAGGTTAGGGCTGGCAAGAAGTCCAGTTTTTGAGATTTCGGAAATCTTAAGCATATTAGCTAAGTTTTTGATAGAACAGACTGTTGAAAGGCACCGAGATTGCAGCGAGGCTAGCCGTGGACTGCGCGAGTGCTGTGGCTCCTTCGGGAGCAGCCTGCACAAGCCAAGATCTGGATTTCAGAAATGGCGGACTCCCCAGAAGCCTCGAGGACAGATCCGAGCTTCACTGCCCTGTCTGTCCAACAGTGTATGTAGGTCAGGGGTTCTACACGGGGATCACCTGGGGAAAATGTAAAACTCTAATGCCTGGGTCCCCCTAGCCAGGAACTTTTGACTTCATTGGCAGAGAGCAGACTTGACTAGATGGAGGCTCTTGAAGTGATGGAGATCCTCTGCTGCAGACAAGAGAGGTGTGCCTCCCACCTGAGTTGCAGGGCACGAAGTGGCTTACACTCCATTCCACCTTGCTACGACAGACCAGCAGTGTCTTCTAGAGCTTGTCAGGAATGCGGAGCCTCTGGCCTTATCCCAGACCTTTTCAGCCCAAATCTGTAGTTCAGCTAGATGGAGATGACCCAGGTGGTTCATATAATCCTGAGAGTTTGAAGAGTGAACCTCAATACTTGTGTGACCAGGAGAAGGCATGGGCCAGTGGGAAGTGGTCAGAATACCTCACGCAGACGACCAGGCCCCGAATTCCAGTTAGCAACCAGGAAAGGAGAGCCCAATCCTGGATTGACTCCATTCCTCTGGAGTCCCTCAGGCTAGTGAGTGTTGAGTAGTACTGTTTAAGGACTTGG